GTCTTGTGTTGATGAAATTAATACCCTATTAATACCACATTTTGTTCTGTCTTGTGTTAATGCCACATCACGCCTTCCACCTCACTCAAATGTAGATATAAAATCGGAGATACGTAAGTTCTATTCAGTTGTGTATTTGTGAACTAAAGTCTTTGAAAATGTAATAAGTTTTACGAAACGCGCCCGTGTCGCGTCAGACTAGAAATAAAAATGAATTTTGGAGAATTGATTTTTGATTTACCTCCAACAGTGAAGCGTAATATACGAAAGATTGAGAAAATTCGTGTTAGAATTATTAATCTTACTTTTTCGGTCATATTTAATAATATATATATATATATATATATATATATATATATATATATATATATATATATATATATATATATATATATATATATATATATATATATATATATATATATAATATGTATTGGAGACCCTGTCCTGGCTTGGTCCAGGTCTAGGCCATAACAAACAAGTTCCGAAGGATTATCAACAATAAACTGGTTTTAGTACCTAAATTTGTCGTTGAAGTTTGACTAGCAATACTGTCAAGGTTTATCTTTCATAAACTAGAATCATGTTCACAACACTGGCCGAGCAACAGTGATACCCACACTGGCCGAGCAACAGTGATACCCACACTGGCCGAGCAACAGTGATACCCACACTGGCCGAGCAACAGTGATACCCACACTGGCCGAGCAACAGTGATACCCACACTGGCCGAGCAACAGTGATACCCACACTGGCCGAGCAACAGTGATACCCACACTGGCCGAGCAACAGCGATACCCACACCTCTCCCTTCTCACCAAATCACCCATGCTAAATAAAACCTATTAAAACTAATAACTCTGAGTGGTTAACAGACGCGCTGGACGTTAACTATGGTCCGGGGCGCTGGCCTGCATCACAACACACCATCGATAATGGAAGAGTACCCATGACACGTGAACTGCCTACAGAATGTTGACCGGCCGTGTGTCGGTCGTGCCGTGGGCCATGTCGGTCGTTGTTGTTATAGATTCAGCTATTCGAAACAAGTTCCAAGTAGCACGGGCTATGGTGAGCCCTTAACTTACCTGCGGGGCAATTAGCACGGGCTATGGTGAGCCTGTAGTGGACTTACCTGGCACAGGAGCGGTGCTGTGTGAGAGCTAGGGTGTCGGTCGTGTTGTGGGCCTGTGTTGTTTGTGTCGTGGGCTGTGTGTCGGTCGTGTTGTGGGCCTGTGTTGTTTGTGTCGTGGGCTGTGTGTCGGTCGTGTCGTGGGCCTGTGTTGTTTGTGTCGTGGGCTGTGTGTCGGTCGTGTTGTGGGCCTGTGTTGTTTGTGTCGTGGGCTGTGTGTCGGTCGTGTTGTGGGCCTGTGTTGTTTGTGTCGTGGGCTGTGTGTCGGTCGTGTTGTGGGCCTGTGTTGTTTGTGTCGTGGGCTGTGTGTCGGTCGTGTTGTGGGCCTGTGTTGTTTGTGTCGTGGGCTGTGTGTCGGTCGTGTTGTGGGCCTGTGTTGTTTGTGTCGTGGGCTGTGTGTCGGTCGTGTTGTGGGCCTGTGTTGTTTGTGTCGTGGGCTGTGTGTCGGTCGTGTTGTGGGCCTGTGTTGTTTGTGTCGTGGGCTGTGTGTCGGTCGTGTTGTGGGCCTGTGTTGTTTGTGTCGTGGGCTGTGTGTCGGTCGTGTTGTGGGCCTGTGTTGTTTGTGTCGTGGGCTGTGTGTCGGTCGTGTTGTGGGCCTGTGTTGTTTGTGTCGTGGGCTGTGTGTCGGTCGTGTTGTGGGCCTGTGTTGTTTGTGTCGTGGGCTGTGTGTCGGTCGTGTTGTGGGCCTGTGTTGTTTGTGTCGTGGGCTGTGTGTCGGTCGTGTTGTGGGCCTGTGTTGTTTGTGTCGTGGGCTGTGTGTCGGTCGTGTTGTGGGCCTGTGTTGTTTGTGTCGTGGGCTGTGTGTCGGTCGTGTTGTGGGCCTGTGTTGTTTGTGTCGTGGGCTGTGTGTCGGTCGTGTTGTGGGCCTGTGTTGTTTGTGTCGTGGGCTGTGTGTCGGTCGTGTTGTGGGCCTGTGTTGTTTGTGTCGTGGGCTGTGTGTTGGTCGTGTTGTGGGCCTGTGTTGTTTGTGTCGTGGGCTGTGTGTCGGTCGTGTTGTGGGCCTGTGTTGTTTGTGTTGTGGGCTGTGTGTCGGTCGTGTTGTGGGCCTGTGTTGTTTGTGTCGTGGGCTGTGTGTCGGTCGTGTTGTGGGCTGTGTGTCGGTCGTGTTGTGGGCCTGTGTTGTTTGTGTCGTGGGCTGTGTGTCGGTCGTGTTGTGGGCTGTGTGTCGGTCGTGTTGTGGGCCTGTGTTGTTTGTGTCGTGGGCTGTGTGTCGGTCGTGTTGTGGGCTGTGTGTCGGTCGTGTTGTGGGCCTGTGTTGTTTGTGTCGTGGGCTGTGTGTCGGTCGTGTTGTGGGCTGTGTGTCGGTCGTGTTGTGGGCTGTGTGTCGGTCGTGTTGTGGGCTGTGTGTCGGTCGTGTTGTGGGCTGTGTGTCGGTCGTGTTGTGGGCCTGTGTTGTTTGTGTCGTGGGCTGTGTGTCGGTCGTGTTGTGGGCTGTGTGTCGGTCGTGTTGTGGGCTGTGTGTCGGTCGTGTTGTGGGCTGTGTGTCGGTCGTGTTGTGGGCTGTGTGTCGGTCGTGTTGTGGGCTGTGTGTCGGTCGTGTTGTGGGCTGTGTGTCGGTCGTGTTGTGGGCTGTGTGTCGGTCGTGTTGTGGGCTGTGTGTCGGTCGTGTTGTGGGCTGTGTGTCGGTCGTGTTGTGGGCTGTGTGTCGGTCGTGTTGTGGGCTGTGTGTCGGTCGTGTTGTGGGCTGTGTGTCGGTCGTGTTGTGGGCTGTGTGTCGGTCGTGTTGTGGGCTGTGTGTCGGTCGTGTTGTGGGCTGTGTGTCGGTCGTGTTGTGGGCTGTGTGTCGGTCGTGTTGTGGGCTGTGTGTCGGTCGTGTTGTGGGCTGTGTGTCGGTCGTGTTGTGGGCTGTGTGTCGGTCGTGTTGTGGGCTGTGTGTCGGTCGTGTTGTGGGCTGTGTGTCGGTCGTGTTGTGGGCTGTGTGTCGGTCGTGTTGTGGGCTGTGTGTCGGTCGTGTTGTGGGCTGTGTGTCGGTCGTGTTGTGGGCTGTGTGTCGGTCGTGTTGTGGGCTGTGTGTCGGTCGTGTTGTGGGCTGTGTGTCGGTCGTGTTGTGGGCTGTGTGTCGGTCGTGTTGTGGGCTGTGTGGCGGTCGTGTTGTGGGCTGTGTGTCGGTCGTGTTGTGGGCTGTGTGTCGGTCGTGTTGTGGGCTGTGTGTCGGTCGTGTTGTGGGCCGTGTGTCGGTCGTGTTGTTAGTCTTGTAACAGATCGTGTTTTATTATCACATTTACATTAAAAAATGTGTATCGAGTCATCTTTAACTACTTTTTATTTTTTCTCAGGCTTTAAAAGTTCTCTCTGACATCAATTGTGTCTCCTGCTTCCATAGCTCTGGTGTTCCTAGCTTTGAACATTATTTCTTTGTCTCTTTCAGTGTGGCGAGGTCCACTTTCCTGTTATTCCTCGTGATTCAGGCCCTTGAGCCCAGGAACGAAATTTGTTTCATATATATTTTTTTATTTTCTTAGTTGAGTTTTTACATATGGAGTTCCCTGTCGCGGGGTGCATACTATGAGTAGGTCTCACGTGGCTTGTATATAGTATTTGGCAGGCGCCTTTGCTCAGGCTGGTTTAACGCCTAAGTTAGGCTATTGGTATGTGTGGGTGTGTGTACTTAAGCAGACTTAAACGTCTAAATCATGTCTTCTCTCCTGCAGTGTCTAGCCTCAGAAGTTTAGTTCCCTTGACCTGTTCTCATATATGCAGGGTGCACGCTTCTTTCTATTTAACGGTATTCAGAGTAGGATTTTAGCACACACACAAGACACAGCTGCAACATTTCTCTTGGCTAGGCATCGTGTACACTAAAACCAGTGAGTGGTCCGCTTTACCAAGATGGAAAACTTGTGTTTATTGGCGAGGATATCACCAGCCCGCGTGCCTCTGTGATAGGAAGATTGCTCAAGACACTGATGGTTGTGGTTTACTGCGTCGGGGAATATTATAAGATGTGTGTCTTGTTTGGGCTGATAACAACAACTTCCGACATTTAAACATCTACTAACATTGATCTTACAAAAGGTTATCTTGATGTATAAAGTGGATATATAAAGCCAACTGTCAGGTTACACCCAAGACTCTTAGCTCTCCATTAAATGTCTCGGGATTACCAGTAGAAAAACAACTCTGCTCAAGTTGCGAAATATATCGAAAAGTTGTGAGGCTTTCCCCCTCCCCACAACCCCTTGGATGCCGGGTGTCTGGGTCACCCAATCCCTACTCACCGTGGCCCTATGATCAACCTTGCCAGACTTAAGGTGATCAACACGCCTCATAATCGCATGGTCCCAGGGTTGATTCCACGATAGGACAAGACGCCTCAGCACGTTTCCTCTTACCTAATGCTTATGTTTACCTAGCAAAAAAAAAAAAAACAGATACCCTGGACTTGGACAACTGTTGTGGGTGTCTTCCTGTGGAAAGTGAGTATGTTGGCCTAGGGAGACCTCGAAGCCTAACTCTGACAAGGGGCCAACCATCTTATGGGAGAGGATTATTCCTCTTCCATAAGAAAGTAAACTGGGCAGTTTACTTTCACGATAATATGGACAACAGTTTTTTTAATATTTTTTTAACATTTATATGAGAATTTTTTTGTCTTTAGTATAATTAGGTCATTACAATTGCATAGTAACACATGCCATCCGGGTTAGACTTTAATGTGTAACTTTGTATAATATGCAGATAGTCTAGTAAAAATAAACAAATGAGAAATAATAAAACTTATCAGTTTTAAAAAATCAAAATACCTATTAGTTTTAAGCATAATTTATATACTATAAAAAAATGACGAATTTTTGTCTGGAGCATTCGACCCCTGGATCCAGTGGTCGACAATTATCATGTCACTAAGTGGGCTTCGTCTCCTCGACAGGCGGTGCTGGGTTTAGCCTTTGCTTCGCCACAGGGAAAAGACGACTATGACTTCGGTTTCGACGCTGGCTCGCATTTCCGCAGGGAGAAGAAAGGTAAGTGTCCTGATACTTACCTAGATTAATGCTAAGTTTTAAGTGCCATTACTCAAGGTGTGTGTACTGTATGCAAGATGTTTACCCCAACCCACACCACAGAGTGGGCTACTTCCACAACTTACAACCTTCCTGAATGTCTGCGCTCGGTAATCCATGACAATCGTCCTCTAAATAAGGAAGTTCCTTTCGTTTTTGATCGAGTTATTTGTGTGAAATAGAATTTTCCACATTAAGTGGTAGTAAAAGGTAATAGTATCAAGATAGCCTTTTTCCTTAAAAGTGGAAATTCTCCTTTAACCTTAATCCAAAGTGATAACAAATTTAATTGCTCAGAATCATTCTTCAATGTAAATGAACTACTAAACTGCAGTAATTCAGGCTCCTCTTTAGGATCAAAGTATAACTCAATTATTGATTCAAGGCGTTGAAAATCAAATGGATATTTTATCCAAAGGCCTTCTTTTTCTGTTTCAAATTTCTGCACTGAAAAATATTGTACATCTCTCTTCGAGATTTCTACTTTCAAAACATTTTATGCATGTAATTCACAATTCTAAATCGATTGGCAGTTGTAAAATTGAGCTAAAGAAATAAGTTTTTGAGTTAAATATAATTTTATCTTATTAAAATCACAGGATGCCAACTAATAAAAACATTCGATTACCCCGGAGACGCATGATATCTAAAAGCAAAAAATAGCAGGTTTTCGCTGATTTACGAAAGTTTTTTAGTAGAAAACATGGAAAATGTGGAACCCAGAGGCAAACATGGCGGCGATATGGCACCCCAGCACTTTGTCAACAAGACCACCTTTAAAACGTTACAGAACACAAACCACAAAATCGTTTATATTATCTATCAATATTTCCGTTTTTTACGAACAACATGTGTGTAATGCATTCATAATATCAACTGACGGATTTAAATTACTAAAACCTACCTATTTATGGGGAAAAATCGATGAAAAACTAGCGACGATTTGCGAGCAGCTGCGGGATACGGAGGAGTCGACGTTCCGTAGTTCGGGCTTGGGTCACCAGGCATCACCAATAACTTGGCAACAAGCGTACCATCAGTCTCGTAAATTGCTGAAATGAGTGCAAATGAGATTGTTGCTCTCATTTGCTTACTTTTCGTGTAGATTTGTTGCTGTGTCGCGACCTATTGTATTTATTTATTTTGCGACCCAATTATAATAGGTCGGGACCCGCAGTTTGAAAACCACGTTCTAATGTATATTTGTTAACATTGTTATAAAGTGTAATAAAAACGGTATTATCTCTCACGAGAATAATTTATACTTGTAACCGGTAGTATGTTTAATATGTTTTTTCGGAGCTTTTGTTTCAAGTATAATCTTGTCCGGACTCACTTAAAATTTCCTCTATACGGCCCAAGTTCGTAATTCCATTTTCGAATTCCTCATATATAGATTTTAAACTTTATTTTATATTCGTGTGCAATTTTTAACCTTCAACCTATAATAAAACTCATCCCGTCCACAGGCTATACTCGCCCAAGCTATGGTTAACAGTCCCCAACGATGCATTCGTCAATTTTAACGAACTCTGTAACCAAAGCTATGTTTTCTCGAAAAATTAATATATAAAATAATATATAATATAATTTTGTGTACAGTTGGACCTTTGTAGACCTAGGATACGTTATGCATGATAAATATTTAGTATTTGTCTATGAACTTCCACTAGCAGTTGTGCTTCTGAAGTTAGCATCTGCAAGGAAAGCTGAAGTTTTGTGATGTTTTCGAGACTTACGAGCACATCGTTCGGATTGGATACTAATAGTTTCACTGTCAGCATCGCGTTAAATTCTTACCTTCGATTTTTAACTTGTCAATCTCTGCTATCAGCACAAGACAGAGCTCCAGGTGCAGTTATAACGCGAGTCATTTTTAAATCTTAAATTCAACTGAACTGTAAGCCGAGAGAACACTATGGAAGACATTCTCACTTCACAAAAGTACACTTCAGACTGGTTTGCGGAACTTCCTCAGGCTAGGGGCCCTCGTAGCCTGGTGGATAAAGCGCAGGACTCGTAATTCTGTGGCGCGGGTTCGATTCCCGCACGAGGCAGAAATAAATGGGCAAAGTTTCTTTCACCCTAAATGCCCCTGTTACCTAGCAGTAAATAGGTACCTGGGAGTTAGTCAGCTGTCACGGGCTGCTTCCTGGGGGTGGAGGCCTGGTCGAGGACCGGGCCGCGGGGACACTAAAGCCCCGAAATCATCTCAAGATAACCTCAAGATAGGCTAGTTAAAGTGACAGTTCCCCCACCCCCACCCTTGTCCCTCACCAAGAAGACGAAATCATTAATAACAATGTCTTTTGTATTACAAAAGGATTGTTCTCACTAATAAATTAATATTATATATTAAAGTTCTATGTATAGAAGTTTATATTTGAGCAAGGGGCATACGTCATTAGTTAGGTCGCATGTAAAGTGTTTTTCATTTACAAACAAGGGTTTGGCAACGGGACTGGCATTTGTTTACAACGCCTTCTTGCGTTTTATTTTATCCAAGCATTCTTTGCACTTGGTGCTGTTACTACATCCGTCAAAGGGCTAAACTGCTTCAATCACATAGGTCAGTAGGCCTTATGCTGGTTCTCCATTCTTGTGTCTATGTTGTAAGGTAATTTGTGATAGAGTATGTGCCCGTGTTATGTATGTGTTATGTTATGTATCATATGTTTATGATTGAGTATCTGCCCGAAACGCTGCGCGTACTAGTGGCTTTACAAGAATGTAATTACTATGCTATGTATCCTCACAATGCCAATGTACCTTCTTGTATATATATATATATATATATATATATATATATATATATATATATATATATATATATATATATATATATATAAATAAATAAAACTAAATAAATAAATGTGGGTTTGCAGGCAGTGACGGCAAGACCCGAGGAGAGTATGGATTCCGCACTCCTGATGGATGCATGCATGTGGTCAGCTTCGAGGCTGACCAGATTGATGGCTACCGCGTCCTCGGCTCCAGCAAGAGAGACTGTATCTTCGAAGGTCAGTACAGCATCTGGCCACGGCAAATGCTCTCATTGGGGGAGCTATAAACAATGGCTAGACATTTATTAGAGCACAAACTGGTCATACATAATGGATAGGAACATTGTGGAGACTGGTTGTCACCTCTATATCAACATTGAATATAATTTATTTGTCGGTAATATATGATCAGTCAGGGTCAGACGTTATCAACAACTAATTCAACTTTATACAACTAATGCATGCTCTCTACTTAATGTTTCGCTATACAATAGATGGTAAATATACACAAGTGCTAGGTATACACAACAGTTTCATACATACACCACAAGTTCTAAACCTATACAACAGGTTTCATACACACAACAGGAGGTAAACACACACAAACAGGAGGTAAACACACGCAACATGAGGTAAACACACACAACAGGAGGCTTAAATGAACGTAGCTTAAATGAACTTTATAAGTTGGTGAGTTCATGTAGGTCGGTGTTCAATCCCCGACCGTCCAAGTGGTTGGCTACCATTCCTTCCTCCCGTCCTATTACAAATCCTTATCCTGACCCCTTATCAGTGCTATATAGTCGTAATGGCTTGGTGCTTTCTTCTAATAGTTCCCTCGCCCAAAAAAAATCACTTAGACACGCGTGTATAATTTTTACGTACAGTATAGTACATATATATAAAAAATATATAAAATTGCGCCATTTAAAGTTAAATATAAAAATAGTGTATCATTTTCGTCGTATATCTACAGTACCTCGGAGGCCAAAGTTTAGTACGACATCCACAACCAGGCAGCCAGCGACGACCACCAGGCGACCAGCGACGACCACCAAGCGGCCAACGACGACTACCTGGCGACCATCGACATTATCCATCATAGCAGACACGACCCACAGACCCAGCGACACTCTCGTCTTACCGGAAGTGCCTGTCGTCGTCGACAATGCCATAGTTGGTAAGTGTAATAAAGCTGAATAATGGAGGAATTTGACGTTAATAGAGAATGAAAATGTACAGAAGTATTTAGAGACATAAAAGAATAAATAGGCTCGTGCTTATTCAAGATGGCGAGTAATTTCAGCCAGGTTTACTTGTTCCGATCATTGTTGCAATTGCATATTAAGATATTATTCTTACATATACTGAGCTGTTCATGGGTTATTGGTCATGATACCTTTTATAATGAATTGTGTTTCTCTCCCCAACCTGGACACCCATCTTGATAACTCCTGGCAACGCCCACTCCTGACGGTGTGGTAGGCAGGCAACTCCGTCGTCCCAATCTCACCACCAAGCGCCCTGTTGCCCAACCACCTCTCACCACCACTACCACCACCAGACGGCCTGGACCCCTACCTCCTTTTGCGTTCAGCACTCCCTCAAGCACCAGCGAGAAGAAGCCCGAACCCCTCTACTCCTTCGGGTTCATGACTGCCACTCACGGCCACACTGAAACTGGCCTCCCAGACGGCTCCAAGAAGGGAGAATACTACTGGGACAGCCCCGAGGGTTGGCGAATCATCGTTACTTACGAGTTAGTTAACGACCACTCTAGCAAGGTTTTTGAATGAGTATATATGTATTAAAAAGTGCAGCGATACCGTCCGTACTATGCTTCTCTTTGTTGCTGACCCTTCCCAGTAATTACGGCCTCAGATGTGCCCTACATTTTTTTCTGTGTCAACAGGTGACTTCCAGTTCTTCCGTTTACTGCAACTTTTCTTATCTTTAGTAGTACATTAAAATGTTATTTTCTAAGCTTCTGATATTAATTGTAGATATCACCACTGATAATACATCAAACGGCGAAAGCCTATTCGCCATATCTGTGCTAAATTAACTGTGCTTTCTTGTGCATGTTGCAACAGCGCTCGATACAATGTATTAAAATTGGAGACCTTTGTATTTCTGCAGCAACACTATAGTAGGTCTACTGCAGTGTTGCTCCCTCGCCTAGAATATCGAGCTTGTTTTGCTTTTACGTTCTTGTGTTCTTAATAACTTGGAAAGATGTAGAACGTGAAAATTGGTCTGAGAAGATTTAGAAGTGTGTGCTGAGAATGTTTGCTCGTGTTAAACAGATGAATGGTGTAGCAAGCGTATTTTTGGGTAAAATGAATGGTGTAGCAAGCGTATTTTTGGGTAAAATGAATGGTGTAGCAAGCGTATTTTTGGGTAAAAGGGATGCCAAGCAATGTGGCCAGAAATGGTGACCGAATTTTTTTTTAATGTGAACACAAGAAATAGTAGGGGAAAAGGTGGAGTGAAAGCAGTTTCCTTAGAGATTATCAATTTCTATTAACTCTTGATTTTGTCACGTTCAAACCACCGCACCATCAGTACCTACGGGCTCACCATAGCCCGTGCTGCTTGGAGCTTTTTGTTCCAAGTGGCGAATCTTTAACAACAACAACAACAACAACCGCACCATCGTCTAACAACCAAGTTATAATGGACGATAACCAAGTTATAATGGACGATAACCAAGTTATAATGGACGATAACCAAGTTATAATGGACGATAACCAAGTTATAATGGACGATAACCAAGTTATAATGGACGATAAAAGGTCAGCAAACACTGAATGAGTACTTTACATCAGTGTTCACACAAGAAAGATTAGATGACATCCCATTACCTACATAAATATTTTGAAAGAGGTGAAGAGAACTAATTAAGGTATATACCCATAACGTGCGACATAATCAGGAAGAACATTGGCAAACTAAAAGACTCAAAATGGAATTTTGAGTCTTAAAATGGTGTGGATGAAATTCACTCCAAAGTCGTAAAGGAACTGGCAGATGCACTGTAAATAATCTTGTAAAATCAACGCAACATGGATTTATGTAACATGACGCAACATAGTTTGTAATATGATAATATTACAAACCACATCATCAAATTCTTAGATGACATCAAGATTTATTTTAAAGTGGGAAGTGAAAAATGATAATGAGGCCTGCAAACAGATCTACGTGAACTCCACAAATGGTCAAAAGGTGCTCAAAAAATGGGAGAGGCAGTAAAATAAACTAATCAAACCCAATCATGAGTACCTTTGATTTTAAGGAAAAGAATGCAGTTATTCAACTGTATAAATATCTGGTGGGGCCCCCACTTGTATTATTGTGTCCAAGCATCCAATCTTCAGATAGACATAGCTGCGTTGGAGAAAGTTCAACATTGAACAATAAAACTCATTCCAGAACTTGGTCAACTCTCATACCAAGAACTGTACGACCACAGGATTAACAACACAGGATTGCAAACCGGACATGACAGGGCTGATCTCATCGAAACTTTGGAAACACTGAACAATTTGGATGGTGTTGATCCAGACAGCTTCCTGTTCTCGTCGAAGCCGCTAGTGTGTTAGTGGCCCTCAGATAAATTAAAACTTAAGGATCGGTCACTACACACAGCCATCTTTATGGACTACCACTCCATATAGCTATCTGGCCGTATTTCTTATTTTCTTATCCAGCAGAGTTTTCATTGCACCAATAATTATTTGTTTCTATGACTTACCCTACTGTCAACTTCGTTTTGAAAAATTCATATTGTATTAATCACTCATGCCATGGTACATGGAACTAAGTGTATTTTCCTTGCCAGAGCCAACGAGCGAGGCTTCTACCCGAAGGTCCGTCGTGTGAGGATCAACCCCACCACCACTACACCAGCTCCGAACGTCCCTAGAGACAACCCAGGCAACCCGGATGAAACAGATCGTATAGCAAAGAATTTCAATGGTGGCCTGCCCAACCCTTCTTCCGGCTGCCCCTACTTCTTCTACTACAACACCAGGTGCTAGTAGAAGTGTAAAGGAGTAAAACAAGCAAGTGGTAGCTTGCTTGTTTTACTCCATATCATTGCATATCATATTTGCAGCAATTATATTTATATACTTTAGATGCTTTTCCTGCACTATATATACCTTAACGACAATGCTAAAGCACCCAACTGTTGTTAGTCTTTTCTTGTGCAATTCCTTTACAAAACTATGGGAGAAGTGAGTAGGGTACAATCAGTACTGACCTTGCATGGTGTTGCAGAATCAACTATCACTGGGAACACTGCCACCTCAACAACACCAAGGTGGGGGAGTTTGGCAGCCTAGGGTCAGACGGGTACTCTCACAAGAACGCCTACTACGCTGACGCCACTGGCTTCCACCCCACTCTGAGCAGAACACCACTCACCCCTCGCCAGCTGGAGGTCATGGCAGAGTACAGTGAGGGCGTCTTCATCGTCCCAAAGGTCAGGCCAAAATGATCAAACTTTGTCCTGGTTATAACCAGGACAGATTTAATTATCGCCTCTCAATATAAAGTGTTAGTAGGTTAGGTTAATTTTTTGATGACCAAACCACACACCAGGTGAAGAAACGACGAAGTTTCAGTCCGTACTGGACCGAAACATCGTCGTTTCTTTATCTTCTGGTGTATGGTTTGGTCATCGTATATTCAGCCACGTTATTGTGACTCGTCGTCTGTATGTTATGCTTTGTTTACTCCAGTGTTATTAAAGTCATGTTATAACTAGTTTAACTCGGTGGCGTCCATGGTTCAGTATTTTTTGTTTCCCTTGATTAACCCAGTGTTTGTTATGTCCCCCAGCCTGACGAGGAGCGACGAGAAACAGAGAAACGAATCTTTGCCTGGCTGGCTGAGAACAGAGACCAGTTACAGAACCCCTTGAGGTGAACTGTCCACCGCCTCCCCTGAACACTGTTGTAGCCGGGATCTCCAACCACACACCCGGGGTGCTCCTTGTCATCTGCCTCAGTCTGATGATAAAAACACGACACCTTGGTATTCACAACTATTATTATTATTGGTGTTGCTTGGTATGTCCATTGTGAAAACGATAGTGATTTTGCTTTATGTGGCCAAACGAGTCAGAATTGTCGTCTATCCCAAGATCTTTATGGTAGTCTTACACGTCATCGACATTATTAAATCTTATGCATTTTAATAAAGGGCGAACTGCAGTATTATTTTTAATAGGTAGTTATCTTCTTGGCCCATCTTAAAACTTCTCACATCTACCAGCACAATCATTATATGGGTTTAAAAAAAAAACATTTTTTAATACACAAAATAATATACAAACACAAAATATGTTTCGGTTGCCCGAAACGCTGTGCGTACTAGATGAAGATAGTATCTCCATCTACTGGATAGAGCTAGTAGATACTAGCTCTAACTAGAAATCCAACATTCTATTTGTAACTTTTTTTTGTGTGTATGTACTTTTAACTGAATAAACATTATTACTGTGTGTGTTTACGTGGCAATGGACGCACTTTATTTCCTGGGCAAAAATTCAAATTTACGTAGAGCTGAACAGTAACGTCAATGGTAGACAAAATTAGTGTCCTCATAAATTTAATTGATAAATTCACATGTTCCATGTATGGTTTGCCCTGCACAAACAATGCAACAAATATGTGAGCTGAACCCACCGTGTATGATATTATACCCATTGACATCACTGATTAGGGTTACAGTAAAAATTAAGTGTCAAAAGAAATCATCTAGCCAGTATGACTCTATAGCTTAGTAGCCTTAAGCTGTAACCAAGTAAAATTACATTTCAATCTGGTTGGGCACAAGTTTGAATTTAGAATCTGCAGAGTTCTCATGTGTTATTAACTTCAATGATATTTTAAACTAAATGATGTGTAAAACCAAAGCAGAGATCATAGATGTACTGGGATATACGAGTGATGACCTCAGGCAGAGCAGCCACTGGCAGACCTACAAGACGACTATCATTTTAGTCCAGCAAAGATAACACCTTGCCATGTTAATCCCAGTTGTTCCTGCATGACCTCGTGTCTACATAATCTGCTAGATGACCCATTTTTGTATATACACCACCTGCATTTTAAAAGCACTGCTATGCCATAAAAAGTACCATATGTGAATCGAGCAGAGGAAAACCGAATTTCCCTGGCATGTTGTTGTGAAAATACAGTAACATGCTTTTGCCATAGATAAAGGAAATAATTTATATACCAATGAGGATAATGTTACACCAGTATGGCCAATGTCACACCAGTGAGGATAATGTTACACCAGTGTAGCCAATGTCACCAGTGAAGACAATGTTATAACAGTGTAGCCAATGTCACACCAGCAAGGATAATGTTACATCAGTGGGGTTAATGCTACATCAGTTGTGGTCAATACCACTGCTTTTATGACAGTATTATTTTTCTTGCCAGGGGGTTTTGATGCCAAACTGCATCCATCAGTCTCTCACTCTACACCAACCTGTATCAGTTATATTTCTACATCACAATGACTCTGAGAATAAATGCATTATAAGAAATCTATATTCTGCACAGTAATTTATAATTTATTTTATAACATGTAGTGCTGTTAATTTATAACAGTCAGCTGGGTCACCAAACCCTCCATATTCATAACTTAGCTAAAAGCAACATACAGTATCGCTTAATGTCTTGTTCGGTTGCAAGTTAATAATTGGTATATTCTTGATGACAGCAACTAATGCATGAACATCTTGGATAAGCTAATATTTGTGCATTATGAAGATAAATATGCATACAGGAGAAATACCACTTAGTGTATGAGTGGTTGTAGAGGCTTGGCCATTGATGCAGGTGGACAGTACAATGCTGTCTCCTTAATCGAGGCATATTCAATTGTAGAGTCATAATGTCTATTAATGTGTCTTATAGTGTACAGATTTATGCATAATAAAGCATTGCATATCAATGGGCATGTCATTACCTTACTGTCTTTTTTACTTTACTGTCTGATTAGTCATTATCATTACCTCATCATTCTTTGCAGATGACACAAAAATAAGCATGAAAATTACCTTTGCTGAAGACATTGAAAATTACTACAAGCAGATATTAATAAAGTTTTTGACTGGGCAGCAAACAATAACATGATGTTTAACAGTGCTAAATTCCAGGTACTCAGGTATGGTAAAAATGGGAACCTTAAACATAATACAAGGTACAAAACACAATCTAATCTGTCCATAATAGGAAAGCAACATGTAAAGGATTTGGGAATAATGATGTCCGACGACCAAACGTTTAGGGAGCATAACCAAGCAAATATTGCGTCAGCCAGAAAAATGATAGGATGGATTACAAAAACAATTAAATCCAGGGATCCCATCACAATGGTTGTACTATTCAAATCACTTGTGCTGTCCCGTTTTGAGTACTGCTCAGTACTCATTTTCCCCTTCAGAGCAAGAGAGATTGCTGAAATAGAGGGAGTACAGAGAATATATACGGCATACATAGACGCAATAAAGCATCTAAATTATTGGGATCGTCTCAAAGCTCTTCAAATGTACTCACTAGAAAGGAGACGAGAAAGATATCAAATAACATACACATGGAAATTACTAGAGGGCCAGGTCCCAAATCTACCCAGTAATATAACATCATACTGGAGTGAACGATATGGAAGAAAATGCAGAACATAACCAGTGAAGAGCAGGGGTGCCATAAGCATAATCAGAGAACACTGTATAAACATCAGAGGTCCACGGTTGTTCAATATCCTCCCAGCGAGTATAAGAAATATTACCGGAACAACCGTGGACATCTTCAAGAGAAAACTAGTTTCCTTCAAGGAGTGCCGGACCAGCCAGACTGTGGAGGATACATGGGCCCTGTGAGTTACTCCATGCAACAGCCTGGTGGACTAAGCTCTCACAAGTCAAGCCTAGCCTCGGGTCAGGCTTGGGGAGTGGAAGAACTCCCAGAACCTCATCAAGCAGGTATCATTACCTCAGAGCAATACAAAAGGCAAGACAGTGGTACTGTAGCATGGTTTAGCAGTTGCTTCAGAGCCACCACCTTGTGCAAACAACTACTACAGTGGACTAACCAGAGTAATACAATGGTCCAGCTAGGGTAATACAGTGGGACAGCTCCTGTAACACAATAGGATGGCTACTGTAATACAGTGGGCCAGCCAAAGTAAGAGTGGGACAACCAGAGTAACTGAACAAGAGAGCCAGAGTAAGACACTGGTTGTCTCCCTGGTAAAACTGTCTAAATGAGAACAGGAGCAAAGAAGAAATATATTCTTTTTTCTACAAAATGATATGGGTAGGCAAGCCAGTGAAATGGTACAAAAAAGGCAACCCAACAAAATCACTAGAGAAAGGGGGAGCAAAGAATAAGGAGAGAGAACATGTTCCTGAAAATTGTATACACCAATATAGATGGAGTGAGATCAAAGATACTGAAGTTAAGTGACACAGCTGCAGACACTAAACATTGTTGCACTCACGGAGATGAAACTTGAAGATGATATCTTAAATGAGGTCATACTCCCAAGGGCTACTCGGTTTGGAGACAGGACAAAAATTAGGAAAGGCAGTGGCGTTGCTGTGCTGGTGAAAGAACACCTAAAGGTAAACAAAATAATGATTGCCAATCCACAAAAACTTTACATAATAGCACTGGAGATCTGCAATCAGGATGATAAACTAATTATCATAAACGCATATAGGCCATCGACATGCAACACATAAACAAAGGAGCTGGATAATAAACAAGTGTCTTATAACAATAATGAGAGAGCGGATAAAGATAGTTCACGATTGTTGGTAGTCGCTGACTTCAACTTCAAATCCATAGACTGGGAGGCATATGATGCTAGAACAGAGAACTTTTGGACCTGTAGATTCGTAAACCTCATCCTGGAAACATTCATGTATCAACACATTAAACAAGCTACGAGGATGAGGGAAGGGGATGTTCCCTCTATGCTGGATTTTATATTTACCAAGAAAGAGAGGAAGAGATATTTGACAGTCAGTACCTTCCTCCCTTGGGTAAAAGTGACCATGTCTTTTTGGGAATAAAGTATGCAACGCATTATAATCTGGAAGAAAATGAGGAAGTTGAAGCAGTTGAAAAACCTGATTTCAGGAAAAGACATTATGGGGGAACTTAGCGATTTCTTTAAGGAATTTGACAGGAAAGACTTACTGTTAGGCAAGGAAGTAAATGAGATGCATGTCAAGTTTTGTGAAATATATGAAGGCACAATTTTTTTTTATACCAAGCCAGAGATGCAGAACTAGGAAACAGGATGGTTCAACAGAAATTGCGAGAGGGTCAGAGACCAAAAGACACAAAAATGGAATCAATATAGGAAGATGCCAAACCCTCAAACATACAAGCGATATGAAGATGAGAGAAACAACTACACGGCAGTGAGGAGAGGCAGAATTTTTTTTTTAATAAGGGATAGCAAACAAATGTAAAACAGAACCAGGCCTGTTCTATAAATTCAACAACAACAAATTGCAGGTAAAGGATAATATTCAGAGGTTGAAAATGGGAAACAATCACAGAAAATTAAAAGGAAATGTGTAGAACATTAAACAAAAAGTTCCGAAGTGTGTTTTTACAAATTTAAATCTTCAAAGAACCAGACACAATAACAGAGAACAACATGAGCCCATAGAGGTGTCTAGAGATAAGTGGAAAAAATGCTCAAGGAACTAAGAACAAAGCAGTTGGCCCAGATGCAGTTTCACAATAGGTTCTGAATGTGCACCTGAGCTCATCATTCCAATTCAAATGATTTTTTTAGGCATCCCTATATACAGGAGTCCTAGAAGGTGTGTGGAAAAAGGTTAACATAGTTCCAATCTACAAAAGTGGCAGCAGGGAAAACCCTGTCAATTATAGACCTGTATCATTGATAAGTGTAATAGTCAAAATATTGGGCAAAATAATTAAAACTGAACTGTAGAACTCTGGATGAAAAAGACATAATAATAGACAGACAGTATGGTTTTTGATCTGGAAGATCCTGTGCTACCAGATGGAATACATAATTATATGAACATGTTTACTGATGATGCTAAGATAATAGGGAACATACGAAACCTAGATGTTTGTAATGCCCTTCAAGAAGACCTGGAAAAAATACATATATGGAGCACCACTTTGCAAATGTAATTTAATGTAAGTAAATGTCAAGTTATGGAATGTGGAACAGGAGAACATAGACCCCCACACAACGTATAAATTATGTGAGAAATCTTTAAAAGAATTCTGATAAAGAAAGTGATCTAAGGGTGGTTCTAGATAGAGAACTATCACCTGAGGACCACATAAAGAATATCATGTGAGGACCCTATGCTACACTTTCTAACTTCAGAATAGCTTTTAAATACATGGATGGAGATGTACTAAAGAAATTGTTTATGAATTTTGTTAGACCAAGCTGGAATATGTAGCAGTTGTATGGTACCCATATCATCAACAAACATCGCATCAACAAACTGGACATCAACAAACTGAAAAACTACAAAGACATGCAACTAAATGGCTCCCAGAACTTAAGGACAAAATCTATGAGCAGAGTTTAGAGGTATTAAATATGCCAAAACTAGACGATAGAAGAAAAAGAGGCGATATGATCACTACGCACCAACGGGAATCGATAAAATTGATAGGGAAGAATTCACGAGACCTGGAACTTCAAGAACAAGAGGTCATGGAATTAATCTAACTAAACAAAGCTGCCAAAGAATTATAAGAAAATTCACTTTCACAAACAGTGGCAGACGGTTGGAACAAGTTAGGTGAGGTTGTGGTGGAGGCCAAAACCACCAGTAATTTCAAAGCATTATATGACAAAGAGTGCTGGGAAGACGGGACACCATTAAAATTGCTCTCATCCTGTAATTACACTTTGGTACTTACACACACAAGGTATATACACTATCACACACACACACTGGATGGATGTCAAAATTGTTAAATGTCACATTAGAAACAACCACTTACGGAACAACCCATCCTCCTGAGAGAGTCGCATTTTGATGCATATTCTACCTAAGGCCAAAAATCATTGTACAGTATTGGGCACCTTAGCACGATTTCTTGACGTTGGGAACATTAGGATGGGCTGTATGGAATCCATCTAGAAAAGCTATCAAATAATTTTTTATATAACCAAACACTTTTCTCCTGTTAAACAATGTGTATGAAATTAAAAAAACATTGCTTTTTGAGGACACCTTCCACAGCACAGAATTTATTATATTTTTGTTATAAAACATATTTACAGAATATTATCCATACATTCATGAAATATATACAGGAAGTCAATTATTCACCATGCAGCCTCTGTTCTATGTAACTAAAATATTTTTCTAGTTATAGAATATCTGAACCACATTTACCAAACAATAATTATTTATTTTTAGCAGTTTTGAACTTTACTGTCAAAAATTTGAAATGATAAGATGAAAGACAAGAAAAACAAATAATAGATGAAGTTAAATATTTTTATGTTAGGTAGCCACCAAGTCAGCAAAATGATGTACCACATATGACAATGAAAAATTAAACAATTATGTGAGTTGTGAATTCTCATTTGGACATAAATCCAGTGATTTCATGAACAGCCTTATAAACTACAGCAATTAAAAAAATAATAGTTATTTTCAAAACAAATCATCTTTTTTTTTTGCCAATCACACTGGACCAGTTTCACTTTGATGATGGCAAAATTAGCACATAGGATTCCCTAACTTATGATTCAGGTGCTCCATCAAAAACCTTTCACCCAAAACCAAATGTGTCCAGAAATAACCACGTACTTGGTCATCCCTCCAAGGATGGATAGGCTACAAAAAGGGGCATCAGAGATCTAAATAAACACTTTGCATTTTAGAATATAAAATCAGCACTTCGGTTTACCTTTAATTTGTACGCTCAAATTTCAACTAGCCATTACCGAGGACACAGGGATTCTGGATCACGTAAACCTTTACAATGTCACATTAAAAAACGGCAAATTGTTCTCGGCAAAAATGGTAAGGCTGGCTAACAATGGTCGTGCACCTGGAAGAGCTGTGAAAGCCACTGTCAAGTTTCATCATCACTTGCACTCTTAAGCATGTTATGCCCACAATCAACATTTCACGTAACATACCGGTAATTATGTAATCAGAAATTTATTTTATTTTAATAAAACTTACAAACTTTCCAGTCTTTTTAATGCTTTATAAAGGTTAAGTGTTTTTGAAGTATTTCACAACTAATCAGGAATTATATAAATTTTGACTGTTATCATTATGTGAACTTTAAAGACTTTGGGCAAAATATTCAGGTGGGATCTTATTTTCTGCCTTCAACTTTGTAAATATCTCTCCAGCCTTGTTGAAGTCCCAAGCATTCTGCTCCAAACACCTACGAAAAAGAGAAATGTATTAGGTAGGTTTTAACATTCAAGTGCAGTATTACCAATAATGTAGAGGGGAGTTACATGATGGATATACCTGTAGTGTTTTACAGTGGAAGGAGTGTCAGAGTATAATTACCCAAGTGTAGCTACAAGATGAGAGCTATGCTCGTAGTGTTCCACATCTTTATAATAATCATCTTCACATTACACTGTGAAACTACCATCATGATGCTCCAAAACAACTGATGGTTTTGGCTTCCATCTGCTTCTCAATATTTTATATACTACCTGTGTGTAATTACCTAAGTGTAATTACCTAAGTGTAGTTACAGGATGAGAGCTACGCTCGTGGTGTCCCGTCTTCCCAGCACTCTTTGTCATATAACGCTTTGAAACTACTGACGGTCTTGGCCTCCACCACCTTCTCACTTAACTTGTTCCAACCGTCTACCACTCTATTTGCGAAGGTGAATTTTCTTATATTTCTTCGGCATCTGTGTTTAGCTAGTTTAAATCTATGACCTCTTGTTCTTGAAATTCCAGGTCTCAGGAAGTCTTCCCTGTCGATTTTATCAATTCCTGTTACTATTTTGTATGTAGTGATCATATCACCTCTTTTTCTTCTGTCTTCTAGTTTTGGCATATTTAATGCTTCTAACCTCTCCTCGTAGCTCTTGCCCTTCAGTTCTGGGAGCCACTTAGTAGCATGTCTTTGCACCTTTTCCAGTTTGTTGATGTGCTTCTTAAGATATGGGCACCACACAACAGCTGCATATTCTAGCTTTGGCCTAACAAAAGTCATGAACAATTTCTTTAGTATATCGCCATCCATGTATTTAAATGCAATTCTGAAGTTAGAAAGCATAGCATAGGCTCCTTGCACAATATTCTTTATGTAGTCCTCAGGTGATAGTTTTCTATCTAGAACCACTCCTAGATCTCTTTCTTTATCAGAATTCTTTAAAGATTTCTCACATAATATATAGGTTGTGTGGGGTCTATGTTCTCCTATTCCACATTCCATAACATGACATTTATTAACATTAAATTCCATTTGCCAAGTGGTGCTCCATATACTTATTTTGTCCAGGTCTTTTTGAAGGGCATGACAGTCATCTAAATTTCTTATCCTTCCTATTATCTTAGCATCATCAGCAAACATGTTCATATAATTCTGTATACCAACTGGTAGATCATTTATGTACACAATAAACATCACTGGTGCAAGAACTGAACCCTGTGGTACTCCACTTGTGACATTTCTCCATTCTGATACATTGCCTCTGATTACTGCCCTCATTTTTCTATCAGTCAGAAAATTTTTCATCCATGATAGAAGCTTACCTGTCACCCCTCCAATATTTTCCAGTTTCCAGAACAACCTCTTATGTGGAACTCTGTCGAAAGCCTTTTTAGGTCCAGATAGATGCAGTCAACCCAACCATCTCTTTCCTGTAATATCTCTGTGGCTCGATCATAGAAACTGAGTAAATTCGATACACAGGATCTTCCAGATCGAAAACCATATTGTCTGTCTGATATTATATCATTTCTCTCTAGGTGTTCTACCCATTTAGTTTTGATTAGTTTTTCCAATACTTTCACTATTACACTTGTCAATGATACAGGTCTATAATTGAGGGGGTCTTCCCTGCTGCCACTTTTGTAGATTGGAACTATGTTAGCCTGTTTCCACCCGTCTGCTACGATTCCTGTACACAGGGATGCCTGAAAGATCAGGTGAAGTGGAATGCTGAGCTCAGATGCACATTCTCTCAGAACCCATGGTGAAACGCCATCTGGGCCAGCTGCTTTGTTCTTACCGAGCTCCTTGAGCATTTTTTCCACTTCGTCTCTAGACACCTCTATGTGTTCTATGTTGTTCTCTGGAATTCTTATTGTATCTGGTTCCCTAAAGATTTCATTTTGTACAAACACACTTTGGAACTTTTCGTTTAGTGTTTCACACATTTCCTTTTCATCTTCCGTGAATCTATTTCCCATTTTCAACCTCTGAATATTATCCTTTACCTGCAATTTGTTGTTTATGAATTTATAGAATAGACCTGGTTCTGTTTTACATTTGTCCGCAATCCCTTTTTCAAAATTTCTTTCTGCCTCTCTCCTCACTGCCGTGTAGTTGTTTCTCGCATCTTTGTATCGCTGGTATGTTTGGGGGTTCGGCCTCTTCCTGTATTGATTCCATTTTTGTGTCTTTCGGTCTCTAGCCCTCTCGCAATTTCTATTGAACCAATCCTGTTTCCTAGTTCTGCATCTCTGTTTTGGTATAAATTTTTTTGTGCCTTTATCATATATTTCACAAAACTTGACATACATCTCATTCACTTCCTTGCCTAGCATCAAGTCTGTCCAATTATACTCACTAAAAAAATTTCTAAGGTCACCATAATGTCCTCTCCTGAAGTCTGGTTTTTCAACTGCTTCAACCTCCTTATTTTCTTCCAGCTTATAACGCATTGCATACTTTATTCCCAAAAAGACATGGTCACTTTTACCCAAGGGAGGAAGGTACTGAATGTCAAATATCTCTTCCTCCTTCCTGGTAAATATCAAATCTAGCATGGAGGGAACGTCCCCTTCCCTCATCCTCGTAGCTTGTGTGTGTGTGTGTGTGTGTGTGTGTGTGTGTGTGTGTGTGTGTGTGTGTGTGTGTGTGTGTGTGTGTGTGTGTGTGTGTGTGTGTGTGTGTGTTTTATTTTATGGAATAATTACGCTTTCCATTACATTACTGTATATGATCAGATTTTGTTTGAGTTAAAACTAACAAAGTTGATCAAATCTAACCTAACCTAACCCATTAATTTAATTCACATTCCTAATATATTATTATTAATTGTAATAAAGAAATTTGGAAAGACATATTTGAAAATACTGTAATGAAAATCACTCTGCTTGTTAGGCAAACTGGGCCTTGCATACTAGTATTAAATTCAGTAACTGGCTAATAATGCTGTCAAACAAATTTGTAGTATTTTGTTTGTTTGTTCCCAAATGTTGTTTACCGTTCATGCTTCCAAGTATAGAAGTTGACAATTATTTCCCACAAACTTTGTTTTGGTGACAAGGACTGTGACCATGGCATGGCAGTGACCAGGACTGTGACCAGGGCAGTGACCAGGACTGTGACCATGGCAGTGACCAGGGCAGTGACCAGGACAGTGACCAGGACTGTGACCATGGCAGTGACAAGGACTGTGACCATGGCATGGCAGTGACCAGGACTGTGACCATGGCAGTGACCAGGGCAGTGACCAGGACTGTGACCATGGCAGTGACCAGGACAGTGACCAGGACTGTGACCAGGACTGTGACCAGGGCAGTGACCAGGACTGTGACCAGGGCAGTGACCAGGACTGTGACCATGGCAGTGACAAGGACTGTGACCATGGCATGGCAGTGACCAGGACTGTGACCATGGCAGTGACCAGGGCAGTGACCAGGACTGTGACCATGGCAGTGACCAGGACTGTGACCATGGCATGGCAGTGACCAGGGCAGTAACCAGGACTGTGACCAGGACTGTGACCATGGCAGTGACCCAGGCAGTGACCCAGGCAGTGACCCAGGCAGTGACCAGGGCAGTGACCAGGACTGTGACCAGGACTGTGACCAGGGCAGTGACCAGAAGTGACTACGGCAGTGACCAAGACAATGACCAGGACAATGACCTATACAGTGCCCAGAACAGTGACCAGGACAATGACCTATACAGTGTCCAGAACAGTGACCAGGACAATGACCCAGACCAGGGCAGTAACTAGGAGAGTCATATTTTGACATTTCCCCGAACATTGCAGATAAGATTCAGTACTGAGTAAACCTGGAGAAACTCCATAATGGGAACACGTACCCATCTCTTCCCCCGTGGCTCACGAGGTGCACCTCAAAGAGGATTACATCATCATGAAGACCTTGTGGAACACCTTGAAGTATGAAGAGTATGACTGGGAGGTCATACCAAACTTCAAAATGGTGTCAATCCTGATAGGTCTCCAAGGTGATGTAACCCAATTTCCCTGCTATTTGGGACAGCAAAGTCACAAACAAAAACAAAAATATCCAAATTCACCTGTTTTCTCATTGAAAATTTTCTCATTTCAAAATATGATTCTCATGGTCACACTGCAAAGTTTGATGAGAATAACAGCCATTTTCTATAATTGTTAGGTATAAGCAATTAAGAACTAATACTTCCTATGCAGAAACAAAAAACCATTAGGTATAAGCAATTAAGATTTTATCCTTCCCAAGCAGGAATAAAAAACCATGCTACATTATGTAACCGGTTTCCCAAATAACTTAAAAGACTAACCAAAAGCATTAGGATATCTACCCGCCAAACACACACCGAAACTATGACATTGGTACAACGTTCGAACAAGTTTTAACACCTTATAACCAATTATAACAACCAATATAGCAAGTTGTAGCAACGTTCTAATACGTCATGAACACGTTAAGCCAAGATGTAACAACTTTATTACAAGTTGTAACAAGCGGAAAATAGAGACAGTTTGGGTTTGTGTTTCCAGGGTAATCAAGTATGTTATCCCCAACTTTTCTTCCCCCTCCAAAGCAAACAACAAATTCATTCTAAATACTCACACTTGTGAAAACTGAGGTAACATTCCTGATGCCTCAGAAAATTTAAGAATCATTGCTTCCTGCAGTGGTACAAGTGTGTCCTGTTGAGGAACTGGAACATTTTCAGGCACTGGCTGGATATTTTCCACTGGCACAATAGGAGTTTTAAATGCCCTCTGTAACAGAGTAGAGATAAACTCAATAAACATTAATAATAGTACAGAATACAGACCATGTAAGACATCTATAGAGAAAAAAATTATTAATTAAAACATAAAATAATTTTTAGGTAAGTTATAAACACTTTTCTTGGAGGGTAACCTTTTTCAGTTTAAAGTGGTGCATATAATATGAAGTTTTTAGAAATAAAACACATACAGTAATTTAATAACAAGGATACAAATTGGGTAAATCTAGAATCATTAAGCAAAGACCTGAACAAATAATGATTTGGAAAAAAGGTTTTTGATTTATGGAACAAATTGCCGATTAACATAAGACATAGGATTCCTGGATTGTTTCAAGCAAAGGTTAGACATATAGATATGTACAATAATTTGGTTGGAAATAAATACAAGCTGCCTCACATGAGCCAAAAGGCCAGTTTCTTCAATTTTTATTTTATTATGTATTAAGAAATGGGGTATATTTCAAAGGTTAACTTTGTGTGGACACTAAAGTGGCAATGATTATTTTTTGAAATGCTGTGACTAACATATTACACAAATATAAAACACTTACGTTTTAAATAACACAAATAATGAGGAACAGATTTAGCCTGATGAATGATATGTGTGTGTTTATAATTGGGGAGGTCTATAGTTTACCAATATGTAGAACATCTACATTAAAAGGAATCTGGATCAAAAATATAAAATTTACTACATAATTTATGCAGTCCCAAAAGATAATATTTTGTCAGCACTTAATCAAGCAAACACTTATTAATACTTTCTTGCCCTTGATAACAAAATTAAACTAATATCAAAATATAAGTCTGGAAAAATTTGTATCCCTAACAGTCAATGTAAGAAGAACATTACAGATATTGGGCATTAAAAAATCTTACACATGTAAGAGGAACAATACTTTATGGACACATTATTAACCCTTAAACTGTTCAGCATAAGGGGGCAAGGAAGCCAAAAAATATTTGAATTATGTAAAAATTACTTAAAAATTTTAAACAAATCTCCAACTTATTGGCTTCAGCATCGTGAAACTTTCATCAAAATATTTTCAGAAATTGATTTAGACGAATATTTAAAAAAAAAAAAAGAACGTTTTGCTGATTGCAGTTTTGTTTTGTTTTGCAGCTCCAATTAACTGGAGCTGATGGATAATGCAGTAATAAAGAGATGCAAGCACCTGTCTGACACACAAAGGAGAAGAATAGCAGTAAGAAGTGTCCACAAAGTGGATATACAGCTGGTGCCTTTATAGCAATGCTGAATAATACATAACACAAATAATAATAAGTATGTTATTATGCTCTATTTTGTTATATATCATATAAATACATTGCCCAATGTTATTATCAGTTACTTTCAACAATGTCCAAAAAATATTTTCTTGTAGGTATTTAGTTTTTTTCCCTCCTTTGTTTATTATTTGAATTTGTTGTAACCTTTCCATCCTGGAAAGTGCATACCCGTCCCTAACTATGTGAAGATACAAATAAATTGGTCAACAAATAAATCAGTCACAACTCTCAGAACTTGGAACTTTGAATTTTTTTGGGCTGATTTTTTTCACAGATTTCAAACTCTATTTTCCTTCTTCCTTTAGGTTGTTTTGATGATTAGGGGACCAGATTAGGGCTTTTTTACTTATATAAAGTATACCCTAAATATATCCCCTAAATCATTATAATTATTATATTTATCCCTATAAAAAAAAATTTTGGGGGGAGGGGGGGGGGTATTTTTTTTTCTTGACTTCATTTCAACACATATTGACCTACAACTTTCACATATTCGAGTACGAATGCCAAACAATGTTTATTAAAACATACAAGTAAATTCATGAATCAGAACGGCCTTATTCACTGTCGATAACTTCAACTTCAATTATGTCTATAACTAGAATTTCAACTTACTTCAGTATCCAAAAATCAAGTTTCTGACCGATTCTCACTATTTTTACATAAAGTGTGCACAGCTGTCTGTTCTACAATCCCTAGAATTGATTTCCTATAGAATTCCTATAGAATTGATTTTTCCTATAGAATTGATTCCTATAGAATTGATCCTATAGAATTGATTTTTTATAAACTCTAAACGTTTGGAATTATAAATTTTTGTTGTTTAAATTTGCACATATTTCAAATGCTTATTGATAATTTTTTTTACAGTAAACTATACCAAAAACCTGTATTCTAAATATATGAAAATGAAGATCATATGTTATTCTGAGAGCATAACACCACCAAATGAACAATTGGTGATATTATATATTTTGCAGCTGATTTCAAAATCTGAAGTTTTCAATATTCAATTTTATAATTATTTTTTATTTTATTGTTTTTCAAGTTACACTGGTATCATTTAGACAAAGTTGGAGCATTTGCCTAGTAGATTATGCACAAAACATTTGAAAGAGTTTCAGAAAATTTAAAAAACTGAGCTCAATGTCACAGTTCATTTGACGTTTTGTGCAGTTTAGAGGTTAACTAGCAAAAATGCATTCAAATCATTAGCCAAGGTCTATTACAAATAAATAAAAATGGTAATCTTACCTTAACTTGATCAATTGTTGCTCTGGTAATGAAAAGCTGCTCATTACATATGCAAAAACCTGTTCCTTCAGGGATGATTGTTAAAGTGCGCGTGAATGACCGAATAGGCGGATTTCTGTCTGCATGCTGACGAAACACCCCACTCAGAGTCACTACTATCAGCTTAGGCTGGAATAAAAATGGTTTAGTTTATTATAAAGTGCTTTATATATTCCAGTTATTCTCCCAGCAAAGTGCCAAGCATGCAACATTTTTAAGTCATTTGATGTACTGAATATCTAACTACTGTACTTTCCACATTACAGAAAGTTATAAATGCTTACATATCTGTCCTGTCATTAAGCATGTGGACTTTCATTATGTTAAAAGAACAAAAACTGCACTCACATCTGCCACTGGAACGTCCAAAGTGAAGGATGGAGGATCATGAACGGTGGATGGCAGCTGCCGCAGAACGCAACCAATTGTACTGCGGCCTTGAAACACCAGCTTATGTCGCTGGTCAGAAGCAAACACCTTTTTCAAATTCCTATTGTCAGATATATAGAGGTTTGAGAGCCTGAAAAAAGATAAATGTATAATTATGAGTACAGATCACCTTTTATATACAAATAGAAGAGTTTGCATGTATTTGTGCCTGATCTGCATTCAAATACTCACCAATAAATAGATTTAAATTAAGTTTGGCCAAATGTTAGAGAGCTTACAGAAGAGAATACAAAGCTAGAGCAGTTTCACCACCTGTGATGACGATTATTAGAGATCCTCACACATGACACTTGGGGTCTATTAGAACTCACATTTTTTACATACACTCACATATTACTCACAGAGGGCCTCACATTTTTGAGATGTCTAAAAATCTACTATATACACACAAAACTGCATCTTGTCAACTTGTCAACCATTCACCAGTGTCTGAATCTGTTCCATATTTCTATGTTTTTAAAACTTGGCACACAAGATAAAGTATAAAATGAAGTATAAAAGACTATAATAAGGACAAATGAATAAGGCGCATGTCAATAGAGTGGGTTAACACATTTGCTGGTTCACTCTCTGGAAGCTTTTGTTCCCTCTGAAAATAGAAATGTAGGTAAAATATTAATATTTTTGTTTTGAATTTTCTAAATAATTTTCAGCAATAAAGAACCTGCTCATACCAGGTCATACATGTTCCCAAGAGACACAACCAATATGCATAATTAGTAATAAGATTTTTGGGGGGTTTTCAGAAGAACATTTCTGGTACCACCATTGAATAAGATACTATGTATCCATTGACTTTCTCAAGACCCAAACTTTTTTTTTTCATTAAGACTTTCTTTGCCAATTTTTATTAACTATAAAATCTGAACGTTAGGAGAAATAAGTCAATATTCAGTTGTGAATAAGCCAAACGTTTTGTTCTCAAAATGAAAACTAGCCATACTATCATTAGAGTAAATAGTTTCAGCTGGTTAGGAACGCATAGACAAGACGACGACAGTCACAAGAGCACACGAGAGGTTAGTGTGAAAGCCGACAACTAGCACACCATGAAACAGGAGAACTGTGCTTACAGGAAATGTTAAAAGTATATCCCAAGAGGAGCACAACTAGCTAGACATTCTTGAGGCTAATAAGCCAGACAAAGAGAGACTGTAAACTCACCGGGCACCGGGGCCAGTATCTGGGAAGTGGCACGTGAGGGAAAACAGAGCATTTTTGGAGTATGCAGCCTCCAATGGCTTTCTATCCTCAGTATCAAATATCTGCAAAAAATATTCACAAAGCATCATAAATTAAAGGTGAAAATATTCAGCATATGTACAACTAAAAAGATAAAAAAGAATAATATGAGTCTAAAAATGAAATAGGAGAGAGACACTGAGTTTTCCCTATTTACCCAGGTCAATTTTTAGATTGACCTGAGCACCACCAGGTCAATCTAAAAAAGAATAAATAACAACCTTTCCCTTGCTACAAACAAGAAATACATTACAGTGGTGATATATGTTTACACTTTTGGAGAGATCATATGAGTGGGGATATTTTCAAGTATAGTAAGAAAATTGAGTATATAATTTCATGTTAAGTCCATCGTTTCAAGAGCAGTCGACAATACAGCATAATCAAAAGCTCTCCTGTCATCAACAGGCTGAAGACCTCCCAATCACAGTTAGATGGGAATGGTAATAATGATAACAAATGATGATGGATGTTTCCTTTTATTTTCTGAATTTCTTACATGTACAGTACCTTAAAACAAAAATATTATTACAGTTAATCTTTATTATTTGGCATTCTAGTGACTAACATACCCAATAACTTGTCTTTAAATCCATCCAGCTGATTTATCAGGTCCTGTCCTCACTCCTGTTTTCACTTATTTAGATTATTTTGCATTTTTAGATAAAAATATAAAATTTACGAAAAAAAAAGTGTTGAATGTAATGAAATGCCAGTTTCTGGGTGAGCTCCGAAAGTTCCCTAAAGCTATCCTACTGATATAGTGCTATATTAGTTAGGGTCAGTTGTAGAGTTCTTGCTGCCTACAGGGGACCATAGCCAGAACCTGGACCCCTCAGAGAGGTGCAGGGAGCAATGGCCAATGAGCACTTTTCATTTAAAGAATGTCATATTATGCCATCGGATCAACCCAAAGCGTGTCTACCGACACAGAACCGGTGGCTTGCAGGTAGCAGCGTAAAGCAGCTACCGGACACACATGATGCACCCCTGGCCTAACCAACCAAGCAGCCACAACCAATGGCCCCCTCCGGAAGCCCGCCATCTCATTCTTCACCAGAAAAGAAGCAGGCTGCAAACAAAGCGACCACCTGGACCAAAGAAACAACACCCCCGACACCGGAGAAAAAATTATTAATTACCTCCAGTGATTGATGACAAACTCAGTGATCGTTAGACCGGCAAAAGAGGCTGCCCCGAAGATACCAGAACAGCCTCCGAAGCCAAACCCTCCCCAGTGAATAATCCAGCAGAGCAAAGTTCAGGCTCCTGTACAGCTACTCGAGCAACCACTGAGTGACCCGGGTTCTCCTCAAAAACAGCCAATGGCGGGACTGCAACTAGAGCATGGCTGCGGGAGGAAGAGAAAGGGATGTGGTTCGAGAATCCTACACAAGGCCCAGCCAAGTCCGAACCTGGGACGGAACCAATTGGGACTTCTGCCAGTTCACTAGGAACCCGGCAAGCTGGGAACAAACCAGATCCCTGGCTAGCAGACAAGCAGACTGGCTGGAAGCCCACACCAACCAGTCATCAAGGTAGGCCAAGACCCTAAGACCTAGCAAATGCAGATGAGCCACCACGACCCGAGTCAAGCTCATAAAAACGCGAAGTGCCAGATTTAAACCAAATGGAAAATGACGAAAGTGGTAAGCCTGTAACCCCACCACAAAATCTAACCAATCTCTGAACCCCAGATGGATAAAGATGTGCCAATACATGTCTTTGAGGTCCAGGGGAATCATCTAAATGCTCAGATCGAGAATGAGCCGGACCTAGGACACCGTTGTCATTCGAAAGGAGGGGCAAAGGGAGGATGGACCATCCAATGCCACCGAAGGCTGCAAGAAACGGTTCGAAAAGCCCACGAATCGTGGGACCAAGCGTGGGCAAAACGAGCCAGTTGCCCTCCTACCTCCCAGACCCTTGAAAGGGCTGATGCGAACCCTGAGAAGCAGACCTCCCTAGACCGAACACCGTGCCTACCAGACGAAGCAGGCCTCAAGGGAGGCCCATCGACTCAAACTGGCACCAAAGGCCTGCCCTGACCAAACGAGGTCAGAGCCCTGGCACAACCTTTCGAAGAGAGCCCGAGAACGACCCTCATGGCGGATCAACAAGTCCGAAATAGGCCTGCAACTAACAGAAGTTGCCGACAGAAACTAGGCAACACTCCATGAGAGAACACACATGCATAACCTAGTAGGAACACTTTTGAAACATTCCCACTGCATCACTGCATACCAACAACTTTCCCTGACTAAGCAAAGACCTGTCCTAGGAACACAATGTTCTTGCCCTAGGGAGCAACTAAGATGCCCAGCTCTTAAAAAAAAAATAATAATTATAATGTGAAATGTTTCTAAACTATATGCTCAGATCTTAAACCTAATGTCTGAAAACGGCAGAAACCAAGGGAAACTATTTATCTTAAATATCACATCAATAATAATTTAAAATAATAAAAAACAAAAACAAAAGGATTTCAAATGTTATACCTGGTAGTATTGTTCAATAAACTGTAGTACGAGGTCCTTAACATCAGGTAAAACAAAATAGGCAGGAACACTCTTGGGAATCTTGCTATCATCTTCATCTACTTCAAACCCTATAGGCTTAGGAAGTTCTTGTCCATCCTGTTTCAATTTTAAAAACAAAGCTTGGATATTACATCACAATAACATTACTAGAACTCTCAGAGAGTAATCGTGCTAACGTGACTGCATCAATGAGAAAATCTGTAGCAGCAGTGATGAGGATTCGAACCTCAAGGTTGCCTTCAGTGGAACTCCAGGTTGCAATCCTTATTAACATGTCGTGGTCTAGTCACTAGAAGCATGTGCATAGGAAAGTCCACTGTGTAGGTTCGAACCCTCATCACTGCCCTTATGAATTTTCTCAATACTGTACTAGAACTTCTATATCTCAAGACTGAAATATGCAAAATAATAGTTGTAATTCAGATGGAAAGAGTTCTATTATCATAACAGTACAAAACATGCTATTCACTAAAATATTTTAAATTTCCAAAGCTCTTACAACAGAAAACGTGTACATACTGTACTGATGAGTATCTTACCAAATACAAAACCTTATTGAAGAGTTTCCTCACAGCACTGGGGAAAAAAAGAACAGGGTGAAGATCTGTTACATTGCAGGCAGCACAATTACCGGTATAAACCACGACTAAATAAAATGTTTCATGAATATTTGTAATTTGCAAAACATAACGAAACCTTGTAATAAAACATAATTTAAGTGCTGCCTTAAAACCTCTGTGTAATACTGCCTATTACGATAGTTTCAAAGCCATGTTTTACCATGATGCAGTACATGTACTGAAAGTAATGAGGGGAAATTATACAGGCAAAACATACTTCACTCCACTATTTGTTTCTTACATTTGCCCTTTCCCCAATTAAAAATATTAAATAAACATAAGCTCTCTGTTGGTCAAAACATTATCTAACATTTAACAATACCCAGTATGAAGCTCTATACATTCTTATTATGTGTCTATGCATGTATGTGTGTGTGTGTGTGTGTGTATATATATATATATATATATATATATATATATATATATATATATATATATATATATATATATATATATATATATGTATGTATGTATGTATGTATGTATGTATGTATGTATGTATGTATGTATGTATGTATGTATGTATGTATGTATGTATGTATGTATGTGTTAGGTTTGGGTAGGATAGGTTAGTCCTCCAATACACACACATGGCTATGAATTTGTGATACAAATATTATCATTTCAAATTAATATGTAGAGTGCATTTTTTGTTTTTATTATCAAAGCTAATGAAAGGACTGACACTTTAGCTCCAAATCAATTAGTGATAAATTTCATGCAGAGGCCAGACATACGTATATACGTATATATATATATATATATATATATATATTTTTTTTTTTTTTTTTTTTCACACACAAATATATATTTATATTCACACACACAGTAGATCTGTTAACACAAAGCATTTTCACTTTTGTATGATATTTCTGGTTCTTATTGTATAAAAGTAGAGTACTGTACTGAAAATAGTGAGTGAGGAAAGTAAGCAGCCATCATGCACTAAGTATGGTTGGCCTTCACCTGCTATTGGAGTCTTTCTTACGCAGACCTGGAACTAGAGACCTCGAAAAGGTAATTTATTAGATGAGAAGTACTTTCGACTCCATTTAAATTGCATTTTAAGAATCAGAATTAAATGCCAGTTTTTAACTTGAAAAAAACATAAACGATATTTCTAAACCATTGAAAATACTGTACACTAACCGCTGGTAATGATATATCAAATATAAAAATCAAAATTTACTCGAACCAAAAATTTAAAAAATTCTTTGAACCCTTTTTAAATTTGTTGGAAAGAAATGCCTCGGTACTAGCAGTGAAAGTTGTCCCTTTTCGTGTCTGACATTTCTATACACCAATGAGCTATCATTCATCTTCCCTAACTGTGAATACTTTTCCAGCATATGGCCACTACACTGGCAAACAACCAACACCTGATTCCAGCTTCCTGTATGACATTAAGGCAAAGTAAAATAATGAAGCCCCCTAATAATTAAAAATAAATTTGATCTGTGAACAAAATTGTAGCTTTAGCATTGTGGCAGTAATTGTGCTGCAACTTCTGTGGTATTTATAATAATACTAATTACTAGAAAAATATAAACACTAGATACTTTGTGCACTGAAAACTGAGAGGTGTAGCCCGCACACATCACTTGACACCCGACACGCCTGCACGACCTAACCACATGACACTACACCACGCTTCTCGACCCAATAATGTAATGAATGCAATGAAATGTAATATGAAACAAAAATCTAATAACGGATTTATAATAATGAAAATGTAAAGTGTAAAATTTATATGAAGAAAAAATCAAATGGATTGTAGAGAAAAATTAATCTAGTATATTAGACATTCTAGAATATGCAATAAATAATCTACAATATGCAATTAGTGATTTGATGTGTTAAAGACAATTCCACTTCTTCTAACAGGGTGAGAATAGCTTGAGCTACCTCATCCCTTTGTGTGTATTTTACCTCAATAAACTTATTTCAATTTCAATTTCAATTCCACTTCACTACAAACATCTTCAAGTACAGTACTACTTGTTCCATGTGATGATATCAATTCCAAACTTGCCAACCATACAATGTTTTTATATGTACAGTGCTGCATATACCTGAATCTACAGTATATATATTTTTTGTATACTTTGCCATTTTTTTCATAATTATTTTTCATATATAATAGTATATTTTTTTATTATTTTTTGTTATAGTATATATATATATTTTTTTTTATTTTTTTTTTATTTTTGTTCATAGTATTTTTTTTTTTTTTTAGATTTTTTTCATACTATTTTTTTTATTGTACATGTTTTCATATTTTTTATTGTATTTTTACATACATACATTTTGTTCATGCTTTACAAGTTTGGATAAAGGTGCAGGACATATTTTTACATGATAACTTTCACAAAATAAAGTTTACTATAAGTCTAATAATACAATGATTTGCATGTTCTGTGTAAAATTATGACTGCCAAATGGCTTACAAATTTTCCTTCACTGCCATTCTATAGACACAGCTTCTAAAGAACTGAACTTTTAACCCTTTAACATATACTGGAAAGATTTGAAAACAAAAAAAATACTTTTAGTGTGTTTCAAATGTGTAAATTAAACCTAATTACCCAACAAATCACAATAACTTGGGTGAACATTAGAAACCCATCCCACAACTTGATATTTTTTTTTTTTTTTTTTTTTTTTTTAGATATATACAACAGTTGTTACATTCTTGTACAATGTATAATGGTTCAGGACGGACTGAAATGTCACCAATTCCTTTACTTAAGACTTGTTGGTTGGGTACCTTAATGACCCACATATGTCTAAATTCTCCGAGTATTTAAAACAAAAATAGCAAGATAAAAGACAAATTTCGATTCAAGAAATTTTGACTAAAGACGGAGGCAATTAAAAATGTGTCATAAAAAAAAGTAAGCTATGAAGCTGTTGAGGATGATCCATAAGTAACAACATAAATATTTAGATATTAAGTTATTAAACAGGTACAGTATATAGAGCAGCCTATTCCAAGCTTGGTTGAGTTCCTTATGAGGGATGATGCAACCATAATCAGCTGATAATGATAGGCATACCATTGTATTTTGTACAGTAATGGCTAAATATCACACAACTTACAATGATACCCTCTGCAATTACTGATAACCTATTATATAACTATTGATTATATTACAAAATATGCAATAATTCACCAAAATTAATATTTCATATTTTCATAAACCAGGATACAGTACTGTACTTGGAAAGTGTTTTCAAAATTTCCAGTTCACATTTTGGTGTACAATATTGGCAACAAATCTGACATACAAAAGCATGTGCCAAAAGCCAACTTGAAATGGCACTACACTATAGTGCTGCCTCATCCATAATGTCAACAACTGGATGTTACCTGCATCACCAGCTCTCGCACGATTTTGAACACCGAGGACCAAATCGCTGGCTGCTACCTTCTCTCGCTCGATTCTGTACATGGCAGAAACAAATTACTGGTGGCTACTTGAAGTGCCACACTTGTTTCCTGATATTTTATACTGCACGGTACTGGGTCCTGATGCTTCATACTGCATCTTAATAGATCATACTGCACGATCCTGATACTGTACTTCATATTGTGGGATCCTGATTCTTCATAATGCAGGGTCATGATGCTTCATAATGCAAGATCCTGGTACTTTATATTGAGGGTTCCTGATGCTTCATACGCCAGATGCTTCGTACTGCACGATCCAAATGCTTCTTACGGCAGGATCCTGATGCTTCATACTGCTCATCCCGATGCTTCATACGGCAGGATCCGAATGTTTCATACTGCAGGATCCCGATGCTTCATACTGCCAATTCCGATGCTTCATACTACAGGACCCTGATACCGCATGATGTTGGATCCTGACATTGCATAATGCATGATGATGATACTTCATACTACAAAATCCTAATGCTTCATATTGCACAAAACTGGACCCTGTTAGTTGATGCTGCATGATGCATTACACTGCTGCTCAAGACTTACTCTACCCTTTGGAGACTTAGTTCTACACCACCTCTTGATATTGGTGATGATATACCACTCGAAGATGCCCATTTATCTTCCAGGACTTTTCAAAGTACAGTATTTACGTTTGTGGGAAAAACAGACGTTTTTTTTAACAATTAGGCTACTTCACCTCTCACGCTGCTCCAAATTGCTATTTGTGATTTCCTGATGTATGCAAATTGTCATATACAAGTTTTCTATTTGATTTGTTAATTATTTTTTGTGGTGTGCACCCCAAGGTAGTACTAAATAACCGAGCAGTCCAAGGGTTAGGTAATATCCTCCAAGAACTGTACATATTACATTCTGGCTGGGTTAATATGCTGGACAACTGCATTCAGAACAATATCAAAACAAGACTTCTTATAGGCTCTCTTGACAGTTTGTCTTTGTTCACAGAGTATCCTCGCTCAACAGCTGCCAGTTCATGTTAGTGGGGAAGAAGCACATGAATGGTTTCCAATGGTTCTCAAACTCGGGTTTGCCATTTGCATATATCCAAAGGAATTCACTCTGACAGCATCAGCCTTGTGATCAAAATTTACAAAATTTGTCTTGTTGTCCTGACTGACCTGAAAGAGAGAATGCTCATACTGTGTCAGTAGATTATCTCAACGTACAGCAGTGTTCCATTTTCTATTGAGGTGCTACTGCAGTAGGTTAGCAAATTTGCATGTTGCTATTTTTCCATTCACCATCAGAATTGCTTCAAAAGAAACCATGCATCTTACAGTATGTACAAGACAGGGCTTCTTTGATAGCTGTTTACTTCTAGCAACACACACACTATCTTGCTCCGAGTTCACGTGCATGAAGACTTGGTGAGGCTTTGTCCAGTGCTTGCTTTGTGGCAAATAAAGTTTTTTCAGGAATATGGGAATCCTGGAGAGTAAACAAAGCACTCAGGCAGGAGAAGTATTATTAATAATAAAAATAATTAA